TTTCCTTTTATGTTTCCTCCTCTACATACCTGATTTTTTCCCTGTGTGCCTCACTCCTCCAGCTTTATTCCTGTTTTTCCCCTGTATTCTGCACTTCCTTCGCATGCAGTTGCAACACATACAAGTAGGAGAGAGATTATTCCCTTCTCCCCACCCTACCTAGGCAGACCTCTCCACCCCCTTTTCCCTGGGCTCTGCTCTGCTGGCCATGAGCAGCCGCGGCTTCTCAGCTTGGGGCACCCGGAGGCTTCTGGAGACAACCGTTGGTCGTTGGTGCTTCCAACTGTCTCCTCCAGCAGGTGCGGGGCCACCTGCCTGCCTGTGCCTTCCCCGAATGCCAGGGAAGGAGCTGCCGCAGAAACCCCTGACAGTGAAACTGGGGGATGAGGTCTTTCCTGCCTTTCACCCTCTGGACAGCAGTCCTGTTTCAATGGCTTCAGTGACCAGGGGGCTCAGGCTCACCTCCATTTCACTTCTTACCCTCTACAGACCAGCAGTCGTTGTTTGTTTCTTTCCTTTAGCGGTTTAAAAAGGTTGAGCTACAAACATACAAGGAAATCCTGGTTTCATGTGGATTAGCACGTTTTACTTCACATTGCAAACACAGCAGTTACTGCACTCGCATTTACTGGGCGGGCGCACATAGTCAGTTACTGCACTTGCACCCGAACCAGTCCTCACACAACTGCGTGGGATCAGCTGATCATTGGCATGAGCTGCATCATTTCCTCTAGCCTGCCTGCCACAGATTCCTTATATCCCAGACTAGAGCAGACATGGCTAAGAGCAAAATCTAAAGAGAATAGCTCATATTTTTTAAAGATGTCATTACTCTCACAAGTATCTGTATTTATCCTTCTATAGACAGTGAATAAAGGTCACAGCATCAATCCAAGTGGTAAGTTTATCAGCTGATCACACAGCTCTGAATGCTTCTCCTTTTCTTCTCTCTCTTATGGAATACACACACACGGAAATGAGCACGGATACAAGCTGCTGTGCCATAAACAGTTGTGCAGCAACAGAATGTAGACATGACTGTAGGCAATTTTACTTGCTGGCCAAAGGCAAAACCATAGCAAAGCCTGATCCCCCAAACTTCAGAGGAGAGAACTTCAAATAATGGGTAATAATAAAAGGGAATGGTTGATAATGCAAGGCAAATGCCCATGGGAGCAAACTGAAAAATGAAGAAGTTCAACAGGTGGAAGCCCAATCTCAGTGAAGAAATAAAAACAGCACTGCTCTTTTTCAGTGCCACCCCTGCGCTACATAGTCTATATATATACCTTATGCATATTAATATACACATTTAGATACATACAAATATTTATATATATATAAACCATCTGAACAGCCCCTTAAATCAGTAGGATTGTGAAAGTGGCAACAGATAGCAGCAACAAGTCTTTTACAGTCTAACTTATCACATGATATAAAAGTTAAAACCAAACATCTAGATATTACAATACTCAGCTCATAGAATTATCAATAATTTTTTTGCACTTGCAAAAATATTAAAATATTTTATAAATGCCAGCAAGCTCATTTCCAAGGGGCATGAGACAGAAACAGGCGCAACCACACAGCAGATGGTGAAAAAAATATATGCTGATGAAGAGTGTTGTCCCTAAGTCACCTAAAATGTCTCTGACATAGCCAGGAAAAGACTCCTAATCTCAGTGTGTCAACCTCTGATATCCAATACTGATCCAAAGCACACTGTAATTAGTAGAAAGAATTGTATGTATTACGAAAGCCTTTGGATCAATCTCTTAAAAATAAGACTATCTTACCATAAGGACAGCAGCAAGTTATCAGTGTAGGAGAGCAATAGCTGCCAAACACTG